TATTAAGGATCTAGAATTTGATTTAAAACATGGGAGGTAAAATGGCGTGTACTGTTCTCAATTAGCAGAATAAATGATTTTATAAATTGAACCCGGAAATAATGTTGTTTAGTGCTATTTGCACTTGCTTTTGAAGAATAAGTCTCAGAAATCCTATAATCTACCAGTATAGATCTGTTAATGCAGTGCACAATCAGAGACCTTTGGGATAAACAGAACAGTACTTTTTTCTTTTTTTCTTTTTCTTTTTTTTTTTTTTTTCTTCTTACAAAGTCTAGTGAGTTAAAATAATGAGAAAATCTGACCTCAGTCTCAAGATTCTCAAGATTCTGACTTTCTTCATCTATGATACTGTAATGATAGGCATCCTTTATGGAAGTATTTACTTATTTCTACCCTTACAAACCAAGAAGATGCACCATCCACAACACTCACATATGGTGACCTGCATAAACCTATATTGGTTAAATCACAGTTTCTGCCATAGTTTTAGCCAGGGCCACTTAGCAATATCACAAAATATGGCTGTTGCAGAGATCAGATGTTGAATGGGCCAAAGACTGTTAACGGTCAGGTGCCTGGATGCGGTAATTTTGTTTCAGAGAATAAGTTAATGTGATGGATAGAGACAATTTACCTGTTTCCTGTCCTAGCTCATTTACAGATATTTACGGCCACCGCCTAAATGCAAGCAGACCAGACAGAGATAATAAAAGTTCCACATTATAATTCTCTCTGTATTAAGAGCATGCATGCATGGACAAAAACAAAGTATGGCCAAAGCACAAGATGAAATACAGCTACCAGGGCACATAGAAGATAATAAATAATTCTATGAGTGTGGTAGCATTAAGAGGAAAACTAGAGAAAGTGTTGGTCTGCTGTTTAGTGGTCCAGGAAAGCTCTTTGAATGGTAAGACCAATAAAACCAGTGCGTATTTTCTCATTCAGTCTTCTCCAAATAACACTGCTGGACATTTGCAATATGAGTAGCAATTATTATTGACAACAAATATTTTGTATCAGACTAAAGAGAAATGGGATCAGAAAAAAATGATGTGCTGAATCAAATCAAATAAGCGTCATTCAAGGGTTTTCATGTCAACACTGAAATTGTCCCGGAGGCTGTTTATCACTCAGTGATAACAGGAGAAGCTCTAGAAAACTGGGGGGGGGGGAAATCTTTCTTCCTTTAAGCAAATCTTTTACTTTAAAAAGGAACAGCAAGAAAATTATAGTCCTGTCAATGAAACTTAATTTATGAGAGGAATTAAACTCTTTGCCAGCAAAGGAACACATCCACAGGGTTATAAGTAAGAGCTAACAAAAAAACTGACTACAACAAAATTGAGTTAAGTTCACCACATTATTTTAAGAGAAGATACCAGGTCATATGAATATATGCTTTAGGAGGGAATCATGGTTTTGGTTGTTGTTTTATTTTTGTTTTATATGTCTATTTTAAGCATGTCTTCATAAAGGCCTCTCCTGAGAAAAGATATGTCAAGAATTTCTTGACCAAGCACTGAAATTACTCTCCTGTTTAAAGCCATCCCGCTCTGCTTCATCCAGAAAATGTCTCCTTTCACACTTTTTTTTTTTGTCTGATATCTTTTGTTGTTGTTATTTGGTTGGTTGATTGTTGTTGGTGGTGGTTTTGAGTTCTGTCTTTGCTTGCTTGCTTGCTGGTGTTTTATTTTTTTAGATAATTCATGCAGTGTATTGCTCAAAAGAGATATTGAAAACTAATCACGATTCTAGGCACCTAAGTTTATTAACTTGGTTTCTAATGGTGTATAAGAAATGTATAAGATTAATTTGTGAAATATATTTACCTATTTCTTCAAAGTT